ACTTCTAATTTTCTCAAATATGAATAATACTGTACATGAAGGATTCTTATAACTGAATCTTGTTTATGATTCAGATGATTTCCTTAGGACAACTTCTTGTTCAGTCATAATGTTGTCACATTTCCTGTCTTTATGGATCTTACTGCTTTTTCTTATCTCATTGTGTTTAATAGAAATTCCAGATAAATATAAAATCCAGGTGTTATGGACCTTGAGATGATTAATCATGTTGAATGAAACCAGTCAAAATGTAAAAGACAGATTTCAGATGGTTTCACTCATCTGTGGAGTATAAAAGCCCAATAAAAATTATATGCAAAGAACAGGAGGAATAAACCTTGAACTTGGCAAAAAGAAAATTATGGTTACCAGTGGGAATAAGAGAAAGGATGATGGAGGGATGGGACAAGGAGGCAGATGGCGTATGGGCCGGGGTGGTTTGGTGGAGGGGAAAATAACAAAGAGGTGAAGTGTGTCCTAGGAGCAAAAATAAAATCCCAATGTTATTATCAAGTGTCCTTGTCTCATTCCTTTTAAAAAGAATGCCTGCCTCACCATTAAGGCATGGCCATTTGTTTATGCAGATGTTCTTTCTGTTAAGGAAGTAATCTATATGAATGTTCCTTTCAATACTAACTTTAGTTGTGAAAAGTATGTCACGCATTATACAGTGTACAATGAGCATAAAACACGGGAACCCTTATCCAGTTAGGGTAGTTGAAAAATTTTTCTCAGGAACTCTTGTTTATACCACCTTCCCTTTTTACAGAGAAGACACTCAAAAAAAAAAATTAAAAACCTTTTATTCTCAAAAAAAAAAAAATCAATGAAACTAAGTACTGAGGAGGGAGTTGTAGTGAGCTGGATGGTGATTAGGGAGAGATGTGGAAATGGGTCAGGAAAAGGCCCCTGTGGGCCTCCGGTGAAGCTGTTACCATTACTTAAGGAATGAAGGTTACCTGTATTTAGGGATATCTCCAGAAGCATACGTTTTATTGGCAAAGCCTGTCTTAAGACAGGACATAGGTCTAGAGGCTAGGTTTTATCATATGAAGTGATCCTCTCACCCCTTCCTCTCTCCCTGATAACCCTGGGCCCTTGGAACATGCTAGAAACCCCTGATTTGCCTCATTTACTTTAAAATTTCCAGCATGTCAGATGCCCATATGTATGTTATTAAATTGGGTCTTTTTCTTCTACTAACCTTTCTGATGTTAATTTGTTCATTCAGCCTCTGAAGAAACTAGAGGAGTAGGGAATATTCCCTTGCACCCAGACAGTGCAAATATGCAAGTAGTCCTTTAGTATAAAATCCTCTGGAAGTAGAGTTTCTGGTACAATTGTGTAGAGACACTTAGTATTTTGATAGATTATTATTAATATTTTTGATAGACTTTTCAAAATTGCCTTTCCAAAGGCTTCATTAATTTGTATTTCTATCAGTATGAAAGTGCCCTTTTCCTAACGTTCTAACCAGAGATTGATATTATTAGTCTTAACCATTTTGATGCAGTTGGTTCAAAATGAAATAATTTCAACTTACATTTCCTGATTACTTGTGAGGGTGAGCACTTTTTCGCATTTATATTTGTATTTATATTTTTTCTTTGAATTCTCTGTTCACAGCAGGAATCATAGGAATGTGATTTTCCTTTTCACACGTGTTTTTATATTTCAGCAGGAGGTTACTAAAGGTGACTTCAGGAGCTACTATCCAGATATTATTTTAAATAACAACTTTTCAAAATTGGATTTTGAAAGTGATAGGGGCGAAGTTGAGTGATGCTACTGTGTAATGTCAGTTCTGACAATTTACTTGGGCAAGTTTTCAGCCTCTCTAAACCTCAGACTCTTCTTTTATAAGGTGGCAAACATAATAGTACCTTCTCTTCCTTGTGAATATTAATAAAGAAAGTACTTATAAAATGGCTGGTATAAAATTTGACTCATTATTATGTTTTCATTGTTATTTACTTTTATTGTCATCATTTTGTTAAAGTCAGGAGGTGTCTTCAAATTGGGAAAAGTGCCTCTTCTTGCAAACCAACAATGCTCGATGTACTTCTAGGTCCCTGTTTTACCTAGTGCAGTTACCTCCCTTTACTCCAACCTGGACTTTTTATTCTCAACATTTAAATCTATTGTATTACGGATTTTCCCTAAGATTTTGTCTTTATCCATGGGTTGAAATCCTCTGCTTCCTCATCCTGTTTGATGCTCTGTGATTATTTCTCTTTTTTTAATCTGTTTATTTTTTTTACATCTTCATTGATTTTGTATAGCATTTGGTTTCTCCCGTCAAGATTATTTCTATGAGTTTGACTAGACTGTTTTCCTTTGCAGTTCTGCTGTGATGGTCTTATGTTAGAATTACAGGTAGCAAGATATTGGCCTAACTTTGTCTTGAACACTGTGGTTTTTGTTGCTGTGTTTATTGAAACCTCACCATCAATCATAATGACTTGAAGTCAGATCAGAGCATTGGTCCAAGAAACCAGACTACAGGTTGAGTCAGAGATGTTGGGCTGTGGAGGTTGCTGTAGTAGATTGTCAAGACAAAAGCCTCCCTCAGCTCTGTATCCATTTAACTGAGGGAGAGATCCACAATCACCAGCTGGTCAAGGTTAGTCAAGGCAGATCACTGGTGGTGCTTTCCATGAAGCACCAAACTGCAACTCACCCTTCAGCTCCAGCTTAGTTCTAATCTCAGAGGTTTTGCTGGCAGTGCCTTTCCCCTGTGTCTCAAGCATGAACAGAGAAACCTGGAAGCTATTGGATTGTGCTGCAGCTGCAGAAAGTACAATGATACAGTATTTAGGCTGTTCAGATGCCTACCAAGCCCAGATGGGGAACAGGCTGGTGCATCTTGGGACCACCAAGTTAGCTTCCAGCAGTCTCAGGTACCATCAACTCAGTGCTTAGCTAGCAATCTGTTATCTCTTCAGAGAGATGTTCTGATCCTACTGCAGTCGGCTAGCAGCCACTTGGGCTTGTGAGTGGGGGTAGGGCAAGTGCCTCTCAATACCACCAAGGTAACCACCACAAATCCTGAGAGTTTAGATCCATGCCTGTCCTACAATCATTATTCTTTTGGAGAGATGGGACACATCAGACTCAGTAGCCTGGGAGGTGAGTTTGGGTAGGGATGGGGCTGGTGCTTTTAGATGAGCTAAAACAGCTGCCAGCAGTCCCAGGTATCAGCTCAGCACCTATCATCAGTGTTCCTGATGGTAGGCAGTTCTCACCCAGCTGTTTTCTAGGAGATGTGGAAGCCCCAGGATTCTAGGTGAGGTAGGAGAGGGTAACTTTCAGCATCTCCATGCTAGCTCCTTGCAGCTCCAGGTGTGTCAGCTCAATTCTTGCCCAACAGTCATTGCTCTTTATGATATGCATCACTTGCCAGTTTTCAGTGGATTAGGAGTTGAGTGGAATCCCCTGAGACCATGTGGGAGAGGGATAGGTTTCTTGCCCAGGGTCCTGGTATTGCTGGAGGGACTGTTTCTTAGACTTTCCTACCCTTTCTGATGGACTGTGATTCATCTCCTTGTGGAAATGCACATCAAGTCCTCAGTTCTCTTCACAGTGCACTTGCTCCTTTGCTGATGACTGTCCACTAGTTCCCCAGAGGAAGACATGGCTCCATGTACATGTTAGTCTGCCATGTTAGAGCAAGGACCATATCATTTTTTCTTTTACAAAAACTATTGCATAGATTGTTTTAGGAGCAATCTTGTATATTTTGGACTCTCACTTTAACTTCGTGTCATTTGGGGGGAAATTTAAAAATAAACAGTATTCATAGTCAGGTATGCTATGTAAATGCAATTTGCCATTTTGGAAATTCTATTAGTCAAAACCAATTCAAAATTTTGCTGATAGAAATGTTCTTTTCACTAAAAGCATATGCTAGTAAATATAATATCCAAAAGTGAAAAGTCATTTGAATCATCAACTCTGTTCACCGACTAAACTAGTTTGTTCATTCCCAAACTTTTATGTTAGTGAAAACCCTGAATTCTTTTGAAAAATTACCAAGTATTCCACTATGTCCAACAATATCCACCATTCTTTTGGAAGTTAGAGTTGAAATTTTCTTTATCTAGCTGTGCAGTTATCTAATACTTCTTTTTTACATGGCAGTCTCTTATCCAGCTTTTTGGCTTTCCAGCTTTTTGTTATTTAAAAATTGCTACTATTTTAAATTACTTTTCTGTAAGATATTTTTATACCAGGTGTAATTTTGTATACATTTTATGGATAAATTTAGTTAAAATGCAGGGAGTATAGAATGGCCTTTCCATATTTGTATTCTTAATTATATTTACTCTATATTGTAATGGAACTCATCAAAGTAAATTTATTTTTATAAGATAGATTGATCTTTATTTCATACCACAACTCTAAGCATTTTGCTTTGGTAAAATAATGCTATTTTGAATCCTAAAAAAATATTTTAAGATAATTAAATATATTTATCCCTAATAAACTTTACATAATCAGGAAAAGTATTTGGAAATCAACTTATTTTTTAAATTTTTAATTATGAACAACTAAATCATGTTAATAGGATGAGAGAGATTTGCTATGTAATATAACTGGGTTTCATATGTCTGTTTTAACCTCCAAAACCATCTTGTTGATATTTGAGAAATGGTTTGAAAGTATGCAATATACATGTGTGACTGTTTCTGAAATACAGGCAATATCTTCTATGTCTGTGAATTTCTTAGATAGAAAGTATCTTCCAAATAGTGTTTTCAACTGCTCAGACTATTCATTGATTCAGATTTAGAGAACAAAATTGCATGAAGCCTCTGGCAATATCATTAAGTTTGCTACCACTTTCTAGTCAGTCTTTTTGCATGTTTCAGTTAAGCCCATTTGTCTGAAATATTAGCCAAATTTTACTTATTTTCCCCTAAAGAATTCTATTCTACTGGATGAGGCATTATCAAAATACATAATGTAAGTTAACAATGATACTTTCATTTTGTTTTTAGAGCATCAGAGCATCAGGCCTTATCCTGTTGGAAACAATCCTGTTTGGGTCTCTGCTTCTGTACTTTCCAGTAAGTAACATACTTATACTTTATAATTAGAAATTTGTTTTGCTTATAGTAACATTTATAAATATCAATATATATATGTATATGTATTTATAACTGCTTATGTATTATATATGAAATATATTGATTATTTACATTTATATATACATTTATATATCTATAGTGATGCAATGGCTCTTATAGATGCATAAACAAGGATGTATATAAACCATGGCTCTTACCTATTGGATCACCTTAGATAGTTACTTAACATTTCTAAACTTTGGTTTCTTTCTATAAAATGAACTTATTATGCTTTTTCCAAGAATGTGAGGAAAATTAAATACTTAATTGAACTAATGGAAGGCACACTTGTGCTTGGTATAGATATAGGTACATGCATCAGAGACACATCAACCAACTAATGTTTGGCATGTTGTATGTTGTAATATCTAATCTTCTCTATAGAACTATCAGAGGGGTATTTAATAAGAATCATAGTCACCCAATTAAGAAATCAAAAACAACCCCAATTTTGCCCCAGATTCTGTGATGCCTAGATCCCATAGTAGACCTACCTCAGCGTGAACTCCCAGCACCATACCAAACCTCACAAGGCCCCAGCTGCCATGCCCACCAACCAATAAATGCCCAGAATGGTGGACAAGGAGGCCTGTCATACAACAGAGGCCCCAACTACAGCAGAACAAACCGAAAGCAAACCGCTGGGGAAATATAAATGGCCACGCAAGTAACCAGGAGAACAATAAATAAGCTTTTTCTTCCTATTAAATACAGAATTCAAAACTTCCATAATTAAGAAAATAAAAAAATTGAACAATACAAAAGAAAACTGAGAACAGTTTATAGATATGCAAGAAAGGGCCTCCCTGGTAGCGCAGCAGGTTGAGTGCAGCACTGTGAGGCTGTCTGCAGCCTCAGTGTCACCAGTTCAACTCCCGGCTGGCCAGGGAGATTCCCACATGGCGGTGGCAGACCTCTCTTGTCTTGCACACTGTTCCCCTCAGCAGTGTGTTTTGGTCCTTCTGCCTGTTCTGCTCCCTGCTCTGTCTCTGGTGGATTTTCTCACCCTCCTGTGCCTCTGGCCTGAACCCCAGTGCTTGTATAAATATATAAATCTTTGAAAAAAAATATAGATATGCAAGAAAACTCAGAAAAGCAAATGAGTGCTATGAGAAGCACAATCAGTTAACAGGAGATTGAAATTGAAAATCTGAATAATAAAATAATAGGCTTGTAAAATATATAAAGATCAATGGAAAAGATGAAAAATTCTGGAGAGAGCCAAGGAAGTAGAATAAATCAAATGGGAAAACAAATCAGTGAGCTCAAAGATGCAAATGGGGAAAGAGTCAAAATAGAAAAAGAGAGATACAAAAAGAAAAAATAAAACAATTCAAGAATTATCTGATACCATGAGGAAAGGAAATTTAAGAATCATAGGTATCCCAGAAAGAAGAGAAAGAGAATTGAAAAACTATTTAAGGAAATAATGGAAGAAAACTTTCCAAATGTGAAGAAGGAAAACAAGAAGTCAAAAGAACACCAAACTACCTAACAAAAAATAAAAATATAGTAAGATATAGTAGTAGCAAAGGGGCTGGTAGCAAAGAGGAGAGGGGTTCTTGAATGGAGGATTACAGGGGCTTTGGTGGTAGGTGTAGTAAAATAACATACATTTGTAGAGGTGTAAATCTATACTGCTAAGACATATACCCCAATAAATACAACTTGACAACAAAAAAAAACCCCTCAAAGACATAAAGTGAATTAAAGTAACCTGAACAATAATAAAGTAACATGAACAATAATCTTAATCATCTAAATATTTGTTGTTGCTGCCACCATCATGTTTTTCCTAAACCTCTGCTATTTTAAAATACATTTTCTATCCAATTTCAGGAGGGATATTTTATTTCAAAGATTTATTTATTTATGTATACAAGAGCTGGGGTACAGGCCAGAGATGCTGGTGGTGAGAAGATTCAACAGAGACAGAGTGGGGAGCAGAACAGGCAGACTTTCTGAAATACACTGCTGAGGGGAGCAGCAGGCAAGACAGGAGAGGTCTGCCACGCCACGTGGGTATTCCTGGCCAGGGATCGAATTTGTGCTACAGAGATTGTGGATTGCTTCATAGTGTGGTGCTTAACGCCTTGTGCCACCAGGGAGGCCCTGGAGGAGAGATATTTTAAAATATCAAAACTAATCTGCAGCACCTCTGTAGTTTCCTAGTGTTCTCAATATTAAGATTAAACACTTAATATAGTTTAGTTTATGATGTTATATTCAGTATGGTCTTTGGTCACCCCTTCATCCTTGTTCAGTACTGTTTTCTATAGCTGTCTATCCTGACCTTTCTGTTGCATTGGAAAACACCACACTGACAAACGGGAGTCGTGGAGCAGTATACATAATGCAGGATGCTGCTGAAGAGCAAGATCCTGGCCCTTTTATTGACACACATAATATGTTGTAAGGAGATTAAGGAGATTAAAGAAAGGGGAAGGGTGTAGAAGATTAAGGATTGTGAGTCTGCCCTCCAGGCGCTTCTTATCTACTTGATGACACACCTTAATCCCCAGCCCCCATGGTTCTAATCTTTTCAACAAGGCACTCCACTGATCAACTTCTGGGGTCCCTTGTCATACATCGGTCCTCAGCCCCCCAGGCATTCCCTGTCATACCTCGTGATATATAAGTAGGGAGTATGTGTTATGCATTGGTCCTCAGCCCCCTGGGCATTCTGGACATACCTCCTGATGCACATGTTATGCATTGGTCCTCAGCCCCTCCAGGCATTCCGGACATACCTTGTGATGCATAACCTCCCCAGTGTGATCCAGCTTTGTGCTCTTGTTTGATTTGAAGGGCTGAAGGGTTGGGTTCCTGTTCCTAACTGGCCGGACCACTTTGACCTTGTTTAGGTGATAAAATGGTGGCTGAATAGGCTGCTTAGGAGTAGCAGATCCACACCTTTCAGTTCCTAAATTAAACAAGATCTCTGTTATTTATGGCATAATAATGGCTTCCCAAAATTGTCCGAAGTCCTAATCCTTAGAACCTGTGATCTGTTTATTTAGATGAAAAAAAGGGACTTTGCAGAATGATTAAATTAAGTTAAGGAGTTTAGGAGATTAAGGAGATTATCTGGATGGACCCAAGATTACTAAGTGAAAAAGGAGAAGTTAGAGAATCAAAGAGATGACATCAGGAAAAAGACAGGACTTACTATTGCTACTTTGGGGATGGATAAAAGTGGCCATAAACTTGGGAATATGACCAACTTTTAGAAACTGTAAAAGAGAAAGGAACAGATTCTTTTCTAAAGACTCTAGAAGAAAATCTTACATTTTAGTGCCATAAGATCCATTTTCAGTTTCTGACTTATATTGGTATAAGATAATAAATTTGTGCCATTTAAAGCCACTTAATTTGTGATAATGTTTTACAGCAGCAACTGGAAACTAATATGCCTCTAGTCATATGACCTTTTTACATGCTTTCCTTCCTCCCACCCCTTCTCATAAATCCTTTTCCCCAACTGACATCTAATCATCCTTTAGATTTTTACTAAGTACCACTTTTTTTTTAGGAAACCTTTTCTTGACACCTGCCCCCCCATTTGGGTCAAAGTCCTTATAATGTCTTTTCCTGGAACCCTGTTTTCTTTCTTGACAACTCCTATCTCAGTTTATAGTTCTACATTCTAAAGTACAAGTTGTTTGTTATTCTCCTGCATAAACTCTAGTTTTGTGAGAGCAATGGCTTCTTTCTAGTTATCTCTCTCCAGTTTGCTACATCTGGGCATTTAGCCCAGTACCTGTCACCATAATTGAACTAAAGTAAATATACCATAAGTCAATGAACGAGACTTACTTGGACAAACTTAGAACTATTCTGTAAAACAATGTCTATTGTCCTCTTTAAATAGCCTTTGAAAGAATTGCTTGATTGTGGAAGACAATGAATGATGGTCACATTTATATTACCTTATTTAGTGCCTACAGTTAGGCTAAAATGCTTTTTCATGTTATTTTCTGTTGTAAGCAAAAGTTGGTTTATTTTTACCTATATGAGATTTATACTTATTTAAATAAAATGGTCTTATTAATGAGAATGGGCCCAAATTTATAGAAAAGTTTTAAAGTCTCTTAAATGGAAATGCTCTAGAAAAGAAAGACATTTGAAAGAATAATAAATGTTAGACCAGTAAATGTTCAAAGTAACTGGTAGAGGCCCTGTCATTGGCTGGAACCCAATTCTGAAAGACATCTGGTATACCTGTACCTGTTATAATATCAGATACAGAGAAAAAGGCAGAGAAATGGAAATTTTAAGGGAATTACAAGACAGCACTTCTGCTTGATAGCTCCGATATGCCTAGGGAAAATAAAACAGAAAGGAAGACTTACAAAACAAATTTCAAAGGGCAGAAATATCAGGATACCTCACCATGTTGACATCATTCTTAACTAGCAGTCTATTTCAGTTTTCATAACAAATTCTCTCTATACAATAACTGCTTGTGGTTCTCAAGTTCCTGCTGTGTACATCAACTTTAGATGGTTAGTATTCAGCTTCTGAAGACATAAAAGGCCAAAGTAATGAAGTTTTTCATATAGTGTAAGATAGAGGAGAAGACATGAGATTAAAGTACATTGTTGATTGAGTTTGGAAAGAAGTTCAATTTTATTTTACATGGAAGAATGGAAGATGGTATCTCAGAAATTGATGGCAAAAGCTTTGGCTACCTTGGGGAGGCAGGGTACTGTATTTGCATGACTGTATGTTTATAAAGCATTCCTGACAAAAAGGGTAACTTGGTCATTGGACTAGGGTTCATTAACTTCCTTGGATTTTGCAGAAAGGAAGCTTATAAATTTTGGCTAGAGCTTTTCCTGCAAGTAGTATCTCTGTATATGTATACCTAAATGTGATAAAGTTGATTAAATATACCTAGTATATGCAAAAGTTCTAACCATTTGGTTGTGTAAATGTGA